GGGGGGGGGGGGGGGGCGAGAGCACGAGAGGACTGATAAAGCTGTCTCTTCAAACAGGCCGCGAAGGCTAGAATTCGCCTTCTGCTAGTCATGCAAGCCGCACACACAAAAATCATTACGTAACCCGACTTAACTCCTTCCGAGTGCCGCCTCTTGTCTACTGTCTAATTTAGTTTTATCCGTTTTATCGTCGTGGATTACCGGCCATCTCATTGATCGTTGTGAGTCTTGATCTCATTCGTTTTTCGACAGGGCCTTTTTAATTAGACATTCCGGTAAAGCTGAAATACAGCAGAAAGCGGGGACGAAAAAATCGGGAATCACTATCCTTTCACATGGTGACTTCCGTTTTCTTGTTCGCAGCCTTCTTCTGCGAGGGGGAAATCACTTGCGTACCTAGTACACCCAGACACTAAAGGCCCACTCACTCGTACTAACAGCGTACGTACACTAATTGTATTTGTATATTTTTGTGCAAATGTTCGCACTAAGTTAAAACCTACATTTCGTTTCGCCCGTTTCGCACAAATTTGTACGCCAAAGTGAACGATTTCCTGCACTAAATGCACAAAAGTGTCCGAATCAACGCAGAAATCTGTGCAAAAGATTTGTTTCCTTACGGTAGGACCCTACTGAAAATATACCGAAAATCGCAAAAACGTCGGATTCGTAAGGTTAAAAACGGTCTATGGGCTCGTAGACCAAAAACTCGACCTTGAAGTTGTAGAACAGAGCTCTCTGATAAAAACAAGATGTAAACGAAATTTTTCCGTAAAAATTTAAGACACCTGAAACTTTTCGCGTAGAGGCCTGAGACCTGTACGGGAAAAGTTCCAGGTGTCTCAAATTTTGACGGAAACAATTCGTTCATACCTTGTTTTCTTCAGAGAGCTCTGTTAGCTTCAAGGTCGAGTTTATGGTCTACGAGCCCCTGGACCGATTTTCACTTTTTCACTAGGGTCCTACCCGGTCCTACCTTAAACTTGTTCAAATAAAAAGTACGAATCCAGTTCCAGTTAGTGTGTACCAAAAGGTAGAAATCAAGCGTAATAGTCTTGTATTGTATTAACATAATTCTGTAAAAATGATAAAAAGTTATGCTAAAAATAATGTGTACCAAAGTGTACCAACGTACTAACTCGTATCTGAGGTGATTTCCCCATCGTTCTTTTGCTTTTCAGCTTTACCGGAATGATTTATTACTCTCATCCAACTTGTCCATGGTATAAAAGTTGGCTTAGATTGCTTTGGACTGGCAGGGTTTAGTTTGAAGAAATTAAAAACGATAGACAAGATGTCATATGCATCAATTTTTATTACTACCATTCTTTAAAAAGATCATATGATTGTGAAAGATGACTAATATCACAGGCAAACGTAAAAGCAGGCTCTCTCACCACGTGTACAATTGAAAAAGGCTCAATTTTCAATGTTTTTGTAACGTTACATCTTCTGCATAACAAAGAAACTTGACAGGTGGTGATTAGTTATTGAGCTCCGGCCGAGGCAAGCCCCTATCTGCTCGTGGGACTGATAACAAACACGATGGTGGGTGGAGGTTGTGGTAATGATGGCGGGGGTGATGATGGTGATGACGATGGAGTCAGGCCTCTCTGGCCACCCACTTGTCCAAGTCCTCCTCGGTGGGCATCCAGCCGCGGTCCGTGATGTCCTGGATGAGGTCGATGAAGCGCTGCTTGAGCAGCGGCGTGACCTGCAGCGGAATTTCTTGCTGTTCGGTCTGCTCCTCGAGCGCGCCGGCCTTGGCCAGGGCGTCCCGCATCTGCGCGACGGCCGTGTCGTCGCTGTGCAGGATGTTGTGGAATAGCGGCTGGGCCATGGAGGCCCACAGCGCGGTGCGCCGCATGTGCTTCTGCAGCAGGTCCCACGAGAAGACACGCTCGGGGTCCTGGACGCCCCCGGCGCGCATGTGGGCGTGCAGGTCGCGCAGGTAGCCGCGCAGCAGCTCGTCCAGGTGGGCTTCTCGCATCTCCTGGTCCGTGGAGATCAGGAGTATGCGCGTCAGGTCCAAGGTCGGGCTGCTCTGGTGCATGATCTGGAAGTCGTACAGCATGCAGTCCACGACTCGCCCGGTGTCCTGCGGCAAAGAGATGCACACTCAGTCATCTGCCCACCTGCCGAGAGGCTTATATGTCGTATCGCGCTCCGATATCGGCATATCGGCCCTCACCTTGTCGTACTTGAAGGCCACGTTGTTGTTCTGGCAGTCGCCGTGTGCCAGGCAGCAGCCCTCGCCGTCGTTCTCCCAGCTGGCGGGCTCCACCATGACGCTAAAGTCCTGCCATGCCGCCTCGCAGGCCTTGGTGATCAGCTTGTGTGTCTTGCTGCCCACTGGCCACCTTTCGGTCACTAAGTCTGTTGCGTCGATCCAGACCAAAACGAGGAAGGAAAGTTAAGAATTTACCCCCTTTATAAACTTTTTGAACGTGCAGGGGTCGCTGATAGGCACCGCACACACACAACACACTTTCAAAAGTGGGGGAAGAGAAGATTTACGGGTCAAGCACTCATTTTTATTTTTGTGTACATGAAGCGTCTCGATTGTGAAATATCTGGAATGTTTTTGGAATATCTGGGATACTTTTGGAAGAACTGGAACGTTTTTTAAATATTTTCCAGTGTGTATCGAAAGACCGACCCTCGATAATTACCCTCACCCTGCGTATACCAAAATTATATTAAATGTCCATATTGTAACTTTACCTGGAAGTGCTCGGATGCCTGTCAGAAAGGGTCGGAAAGTGTCCTTCATTTCCTGGCTGTCGAAGAGGTTCTCAAGAGGCGCCGCCAGGGCCTGGTACTTGTCCGGGTGGAGGTGCTTGAGGACGAAGCCGGCCGCGTGGAACTTGGCGAGCTGCTGCGTCAGGAGGCGGCAGTGGTCCACGTCCAGGCCCTTGGTGCGCACGGGCTGCCCGAAGCCGAGCGGCCCGAAGTCCTCCAGGGTGACGCAGTGCGGCAGCGGGCCGTCCACCGCCACGTCGAGCACCTGCGGCCAGCGCGGCGTGGACTCGGGGCCGGCGACCTCTGCCATGGCCGGCAGCACCTTGCTGTAGATGTGGCCCTCGGCCGCGAAAACGTCACCCATGATGCTCTCCATGACGGACATGGACATCTTGCACATGGCGCTCATGTCGGCCGGGCCGGTGGGGTCCTGCAGGAACGACAAGGGTCGTGTACACGAGGGAACAGCTAGTAGATTGGTGTTCAAACTAAGTGTTCTTTTGTAGTGCAAGAATTTCAGTTCCCCTGACAAATCGCCCCCCTCCCCCTCGTTACTTCTTGGCTAGCAGCTCTGTTCACTATATCAGGTGGCTCAAACGCGCGCACTTCTGTAGTTATGCTGTACCGCACGCAGGAGTGCGGGTGGGCTTGCCTCTCGCCCCAGTCCACGGCGCCTTACGGCCGAGCGAGTAGGCAACCCGCCCGCACTTGTGCGTGCGGTACAGCATAACTACACAGGTGCGCCGTGTTTATCAGCCACCTGGTATAAGAGGAAGAAACGCAAAGAGCGCCAGCCGGACTTCAACTCGTTACCCTCGCTTATTGACTGGGGTCATCGGCGACCTTGGCCTTGTGGGGTCTCCGATTACGTTCAGCCTTTGTCACTTTACCGCTTCTGCCTGCCGCGGATGTTTGCAGCCCATTTCTGTAGTCTTACTCGTGTCGGCGCAGACCCCGCCTTACCTCGTCGTGTATGTGGGCCCGGTACATGGTGCTGAGGTAGCCGTCGCGCGCGCCCGAGCCGGTGGTCACCGTGAAGCTGGAGGACGGAGAACACGAGTTGGAGGTATTGGAGACCACATCCAGTTTACTCTGCTGCGTCAGCAATATCGCTTACCGCGGTTTCTTGTAGCCCTTCCTGGCCGCGACATCCCTGAGGGCCTTGTCCACCACCGGCGGCACTTCCACCGACTCACATCCGTTCGCGGTCATGGTCGGCGTCGGACTGACAGAACTTGTCGCTCGCACGCGGCTCGCGACTCTAAGTACGTACAGTCCACTATACGCGGCGCGTATGGTGCGGAGCGGGGCGCGCGCAGGCGCCTAGGCCGCGCATTCTGCACCACTCTGGTACCACTTGTTGGTACAGCATTGTGTCGCGGGTCCGCCCACCCACTAGGGGCCACGGCTCTCTCATGGATGTAGCGAGCGAGTAGGCCGAGGGGTCCCTAACTCCCTTAAAAATATGTGTGTACACCGGATTACCACATTGTCAAGATTACCAATGAGTACTAATGATTACGAAAGATCACCGATCGATACTAGGTATGATTCGCCTGCATTCAAAATCCCAATGGCAATTGTTTGTCTTGAGAAAGATGCATTTTTGTGCACATCTTAGTTCTTAATTATTTTTCTCGCAAAGTTATAAATTTGCATTCTATGATTGGAATTTTTTTATTTTTGTCCAGGGGAGAGATGCACACCATATTCAACATGCGCGTTTGCATTTAGGCATGATGTGCACAAAAATGCATGTCTCAATCAACAAATTTGTCCTTTGAAAGGACCCACGAGTAGGTGGATTACCATAAGGATTACGCTGCGTACCAAACTGTGTAGAGAGAGAGAGAGAGAGAGAGAGAGAGAGAGAGAGAGAGAGAGAGAGAGAGAGAGAGAGGACAGATAAAGCTAATGCTACAAACAGGCTTCGAAGGCTGCGACCCGTGCCTTCTGCCAGTCATGCAAGCGGCCCACAAAAATCATTCTGTCACTTCTCCGACTGCTGCTTCATTTGGTTTTCGCGTTGGGACCCGTCTCAAGAGAAATGTGTGAAATCATCTCACCCGGAGGGCTCGCTTCCAAGCCCAAGCGATGAAGGCAGAAAGAAGAGAGTGTTCATGCCTCAATGCCAGTACATGTATGATGGATGAGCTTGCCTGAAGTTTGGAAACGTCTATACTCATACTTTTCTCGCATATTCTAACAAACATGTTATATTGAACTTACCAGGTGGCTGATTAACCCCGCGCACCTCTGTAGTTAGACTGTACCGCACGCACGAGTGTGGGCGGGTTGCCTACTCGTCCGGCCCGTAAGGCACCGTGGACAGGGGCGATAGGCAAGCCCACCCGCGCTCCTGCGTGCGGTACAGTCTAACTACAGAAGTGCGCGGGGTTAATCAGCCACCTGGTGTGTTGACAGTAAGCCTAGGAGAGAAGTAACATAAATGCATTCTAATTTCATGCATTGGTGGATTGCATACTAAAGAATAGTATGACATACTTGGTTCGCATAATGTACCGGGTGTAACTGTGAATACGCAGACGTTGGAACCCAAAAAGGGAATGGCCTATTGAGGGGGTAATTTCTTGTCTATCCCACAGTTACCTAATTTGCGTAATGTATTAGTTGTGACAACTAATTTTTTTTCCGTGTAGTGTGGCGTGGGGTGCGGTAGGTCATTCACCTGTACCTGTACTGTGTTTCAGGTCTATGACACAACAGTGTTGCGGGTTTGCATGTCCAAGGGACCAGTGCCTTGCGGGTATATCGAGTCCTAGTGCACTGTTTGTTGTGCCGTGGCCCTGACACTGACACATGGTACTCAGCAGTACGCTGCGGGTTGTCAAGGGAAAGCTCCTTGAAATAATCTTATCCGGAGAGCTGCTTCCAAACTCAAGCACCTGTCCGATCCGCCATCACTCGCATACCCTTATCATAACGAAGAAAGAAGAGAGTTTTCATGTCTAGACAAGACATGAGCTCACTGACAGGACATAATTGTTTGATAGAATCGTCTATTACTTTTCTTGCATATTCTAACAACAATGTCATACTCTGATCTTATGTTTTGGTTGTTAGCCTAGGAAATGAGCACAACAATTAGGCGGGTCGTCTTTTTTGGCTCAGTAAGGACGTTTGGATTGTTACAAAGCATACTTATTGGGGGTGCGATACTACTCTTGTCTAGTCCCGCGCATTCGTAATCCCGCCCCCACCAATATCCTGCGCGACCCCACACCGTTCTCTTTGCCCTCGAGTGCACCGAGGCAGCGGTGGAGATAGTAGAGCTTTCATCGAACGTTATCCACCCATCTGTAATCCACGGTGGTCGGTAATGAAACATTCTAAGGTACAGGATAAATGGAGCTTAAAATAAAAGTGTATGTACAAAAAACTGTTTATTGGGAAGGCACTAAGAAACATAACTAGTAGTCTGCCGATACTTCCGGCCTGTTGACGCCCAGCTCGGCCGCGAGAGTGACCACCTCGTCCAGGACGGACCTCGCCGGGTCATCAGTGTCGATGTCCAGGTCGCCGCCCGCCACCACATCGTTGTCCTCGCCGCCCTCGTCCGAGCGGCTCTTCCAGCCAGAGAAGCCGTCCAGGTCGCCGTCGTCCCCGGCGTGGTCCAGGTTTGTCAGCTCCTTGTGCTTCTTCTGCACCTTGATGAGGTACTTGACGAGCTCCTTCTTCATGACCTCGTCATCCTCGTCCACGTCCACCTGCACGCCGACGTGGGCGCCCGTGTCCTCCACGACGTGTGGGATGAGGAGGGGCACCTGCTCCACCTGCTTGTCGGGGTGCGGGGTGTGCGCGGCCGGGGGCGGCGCGGGGGCGGGGGTGGTCGTCGGCGCGGCGAGTTTGGCGGGTCGCTGCTGAGCCAGGGGCGGCGCGACCATTCCTGTAGCGGAGGGGTCGTCGTCCACCTCGTCGACGTGGATGCCGAGGTCGCGGAGCTTGCCCAGCAGCGCCAGCACTCTGCGCAGCAACACGCGACTCTCTCAGGAGGGGACGTACCCAGTGTGCACGGCTGCAGCCCTTCCAGCCTGCAGCCAGCCCAGCGCGCGCGCCGGGTAGGTTGCGTACTCACCGGGAGGCCTGCTGGCGAGCGTACCACTCTGCGTCCGGGTCGTGTTGAGGGAACGGCGTCGGTGCGGGGGCGGCCGTGGGGGCCGGCAGCACGGGTGCGGGGGGCAGCGCCGGAGGTAGCGGCGCGGGTGGGGGCGGCGGCAAGGCAGGCTCGCTGGCGGCCGCCGCCGCCGCCGCCAGGTCCTGCGCGCTGTGGAAGTGGTACTGGTGCGTGACCCCGGCGCCGATGGTGGACACGGACTGGTACACCCGCGGCGGGTTCACCGTGTGCGACTGTAGGGAAGACCGGGCGGACCATTAGTCTAAGAAATCGAAACCTCCGTGAACACAAAATAACACAGGTTGCAACAACTACTAAGCGAAATTCGGGCCGGCTGTGGAGAAGATGACCCTGATCGCAGAGAGGTTGACCCCTAAGCTGAGAGGAGGGGGCAGTGAGTGACCTAAGGTCAGAGCAGCCCAGAGCAGCCAGACGCGGGGCATGGGCGGTTGCTTCAGCAGTGATGGTTTTGGACCAGTTGAGCAACGCGGGCCACCTCCATCTCCATGCAATGGACCGGAGCCGGCCTGGCGGAATAACACTACAAGACGTTCTGGTAGCCCCGCGCCCCAGACAGCCGATAAAGGCTCATGCTGGTCCGCACCCGCGCCATGGCCGTGTCCGGGTGGTGGTGCTGGTGGCCCAGGATGGTGCGGGGCAGCTGCAGCAGCGCGGCCATGGCCTCCTTGGAGGGCGGCGTGTCGCCCGGGTAGCCGCCGCCCTGGAGCACCACGACGTGGTGGTGGTGGTGGTGCACGACGCCGGGCACCTCGACGGCGCCGGGGCCGGCGGCCAGCGGCGCGCCCAAGCCCGGCGTCAGGGGCCCGGCCAAGGACCCCGTCAGCGCGTGCCCCAGGTGCGTGTGCAGCGTGGCGGAGTGCGGGAGCACGAGCTGGGCCGGGCCCATGGCCTGGCGCCCGGGTGTCCGCAGCAGCGCGCTGCAAGGCAAGGGACGGTCAACGGTTGTAGATACTGACGTTTTATGGGAAAACTTGAAAGTTCGTGTTCTATTCAACTTATTATTTTGTAAAAAATATTGCAAATTTGACATATATCACTTTTAGCGCCTGGCAAAGATGCCACGACAGCCCCCACCTCTGTGTCTGCAGTAAACAGTGACTCACTGAAAGGTCCGTCCATGCGTCCTCACGCCCAGGATAAGCGCGGACAGCAGACCCAGCAGCAGTTGTACGGGGCCGCGCAGCCTCAGGATGGTCTAGAGTAGGGCGACCGGTGGAAAGAAATAATACAACAACCCATTCATACACGCACTTCTGCCAAACCGGGGGGTGGTCGGGAGAAGGATGAATCAGCCATCAGTGACGGGTGAACGCCAAGACGCCATCATCGACCTGCCCCCATACAATCAATAATCGCTTACCAGAGCCAGATTTTTCGGAGCTCGCATCCTGGAGGCGCGGACCTCGGTGTTGGCGCGGTCATAGCGGCCGCCTGAGGAAGAAAGTCTTGTGCTCGGGATGGAAGGCCCTTTTGTACTCCCCCGCCCCCTCGTCACCACTCCTCTTGCTCCCCACCCCCTCCGCACGGGTGTCACTTGGCTGCGCAGGGCTTCACGGTCGGGGGCGCTCATCTCCGCAAGACGCCATCCTCTTACTTTCGACGGATTGATTTGCTTTCTCTGCCATCGAGCAGCTCTAATGCCGACGACATTTTTCCTGTTGTTCTTGTTGTTGTTTTGTTGTTATATATCGCGGAAGATTTTTTACTATTATGCAGCACGCACCGGAGCCGGCCGCGCCTGGACAAGCTTGTACCGCCTGGACCAGCCTGGACTGCCCCGGACTGCCCACGGGCCGGGCCCGCGGCAGGTTCAAATACCGGTAAAGTTGCGGTGCCGCAGGTCAGGTCGGGGGG